AAAGAACCACTTCCTTCATGGTGCTTCGATTTTTTTTTTGCAAAAGAATGTATTTAGTGATCTTCTAAGCTGTGAAATTAAAGGTAAGGGCTACTCTAAAATTTGAAAATCTCAGATCTATGGATGGCAGGATATATCAAGACCTGCCTTTCAAAGAGAATGTAACAAAGCCGAAATTGCGCAGGAACTGATTAAGACAGATGAGTATGCCCTTAAACTTTACAAAATTAGAGAACAAGTCATGTCCTTAAGTAAACTTCAAAATGTTGAAGCTTCTCATTTGTATGATTCTAGAAAACTTAAAGTTCAATTACCTAAAACTGAATTAAAGAAATACAATGGGGATTTTAAAGACTGGATCATGTGTTGGGCTCAGTTTTCCAAAATTCATTGTGATGAATCTCCTAAGACTGAGGATAAGTTTTGTTATTTATTTCTATGCATGAAGCAAATGAAACTACTAATTGGGCTTTGAGGTATTAGATAAGTATATTAGACATTGTTTTGAAGATTTACAACAGTTTGGAAAGATTAGTTGGTAAACAATATAGCCTACAAGTATTAATATGTTTAAATTGGTAGATATAGTGTAAATGTAAGAAATGTTTGTGGATACTAGCATATTTTATAATTACTTAAATGTAAAGATAAATTTTCTGTGCTTATTGTATTAATTCAAAAATTTTTAAACCACTCCATATCAGAGGTAAGCCTGTGTATTATATGAATATGCTTAAAATGCCGTATCTTTCTCATCGTCTCTGCTTGAACAGTGTATCAATGTAGGAAACTGAGTAAAATGTGATTTCCTATTGCTGCTCCCAGTTATTTTCTGTTGTGTTTAATGTTAACATTGCAAAGCTTTAATGACGTGATAAATCCCGATGTGAAGTGATTCTAATTATGCTGAAATTGCATCCAAGAGTTAGAAAAATTGTAAAAAAAAAGCTGAATTGCATCATGTTTAGGCTAGATTTTTATTAATGCAGAAAATTTTCAGTACTGTTTTGTGAATTTGAATGCAAGATTGCACCTTATAAAATTACATGAAGATTATAAAAATTAATTATAGTTTAGGTTACGCTCTATGAAACCATTGTATTAATTGCATTTTCCTTGCTAATGCAAATGCCTTGCTGTGGCTTTGTTATCAACATGTAAATCTGTGTGCATATAACTAAAAATTGTCTCTTTCCCCCCCCCATAATCTTTCTTTTTTAATTCTAGTGCTAGCAATACAAATAACACAGACAAAATTTGGTATCATATAAAACTGTTGCTATAGGTATGACAGTTCATTTTATAAATTAACTAATCTTTGGTATTGATAAATGTAATACATAGTACAATATTTAAATTTTCTTCTGATTTCTTGACTTAAGGAAGTTTTCTGTTTTTTTATAGTAAGAATAAAGGCATCTAATGTATATATAGCTTACAAAAGTATGTTTTAATTTAATCTAAGTGTTTCTGTTCCGCAAGAAATTAACAGTTACGTTCTGGGGAAAGGAAACATTGTACGTCGGTTTTGGAATTGCATATTACTATGGTGTATCTGTTTCCTGCAAAATGAATGGGTTGACTTTGTGAATATTTTCAAATAAATTGGTTGTGTTGAATCTTTTCTGTAGTTTTCTTAACATTTCTGCAAGTTTTCTGGGTTTTTTTACATAGTCTTAAAACTTTAAATTTTTCTGCCCTTTTAAGTATAGATACTTTTTGTGTATATTGTAATAGAATTGATTCCTAATTTCTTTATGTGCACTGACTATTTCTTAAATATTTTTTTTTTTTTATTTCTTAGGTTGCAGCTTGATTTTGTAATGCGAGAAGTAAAAGCATTGGCTAAATTAGACCATCCAGGCATTGTGCGTTACTTTAATGCATGGGTTGAAAATCCTCCTAAAGGTTGGCAAGAAAGCAAAGATCAAGAGCAAAATATTGTGTACGTTCCTATTCATTATCTAGAAATTTTAGCATGTAGCTTGAAGTTTAGAGAGAACATATATGTATTAGCTTTATGAAAAATTTCTTAAGAAATATTAAAAGAACTTGGCAACAACTGAGAAAGAATGAACTCTAGTTTTGCTTTAGAATGAAATTTGTTAGTTTTTTTTTTTTTTTTGTAAGCTTCTTTCACATTCATATTATGAATTTGAAGTTACTTCTGAAATATATGAAATGACTAAGCTTTACAGTATTTTACCTTTGTGTACAATTTCAATTATGGGTTTATTTATTTTGTGCTACAGCTGTTCTTCCATATTTTGTATTTTCTACTCATTGATTGTTGTTACTTCAGAAATAATCTAGAATAGTATATTGAGTACTTATTTTTCTTACTTGCCAGACTTTATGCAGTTTGTTTACACTTTCTTGTAACTGAAATATATCTACATTTAGCTCATTGTGCAGTAGTTGACAAGATGCATACATAATTACTGAATGAAAATGAGTTAAAATAAGTAAATAACCCATTTACATACCGAAAATATATTAGAAAATTAGTAAAAATTAGAGCTCTCTTTAGACTACCTTTTAGCTTTCTCATTCAGCCTGATATGAGAGTATTTAAAATTTACTGTTTGCTAAATACAGTCAAAAGTCGTTAATCCAGACTCGTCGGGACTTCAGCGATTCCGGATTATCGATTTTTCCGGATTATAGATCATCAGTTTAAATCTGGTAAGATGGCATGCAGAAATTATAAAATTAAAAATATAAAAACAGTAATTTATATGAAATAAAGAGCAATTATGATCTAAAGGGTATCAAAATTTGCAAAAAAAAAGCTTAATATTTATTTGTTTACTTTATTAAACATTTCTTTCAATAAGTTGTTTTAAGTTGCTCATTTTATGTGATAATCTTTCTCTTTAATTCATAACAGACATAATTTCTCTTCAGTTACAAAGTTCCGCAGTTCAAGTCCCATAATTGCGTGTCTAAACCGACTAATTTGTCAATCGAATGTTTTCATTTTCAATACCTCTCTGTTACTTTCTTCATATCGGAAGCAATTGTAATGACGAGATTTGATTTAAATCATATCAAAGACGGAGTACATTGAGATGAAATACTACATTTAGTAAGGATTATAAGCCAAATAAAATAAAACATCTGCCCTAAAGATAAGAAGTGCTGACAGATCAACTTCCATTCATTGCGTGCCCGGCGTCCCCCTCCCCCCCCCCCCGGTTTATATGCAACTTTATCCTTTTTTTAGCAATTCCACTTTTTGTTTATGGACTTCGAACATACTTTCGCTTTGTAGATCCTTTACTATTAGTAAATATATATCGGAAATTCTATTTGACATAATCGAAAGTTCAAGCTTTACTTTTAAAATTGCTCTAACAGTCTGCAAAAATATAAGCCGGATCCAATTCGAAGATTAAGGAACGCAAATCTCAACATTAACTGAATTAGATAATTTAGAGCTTATACCGTCCGTTATACATTAACGGCGTGAAACGTCTTTGCGCATACGCATATTCGCAGCGTATGACGCATGCGCAAAAGTTTATTAGCTTTGAGGTCTGGATTATGGTTGAAGTAATTGACTTTTGACTGTATAAAAATCGATTTCAGGCTCACCAGCGCCGAGCGTTAAATTCACTGAACACTGCTAGTTCGGTCCGAGGTTCGAATCCCGCGAACGGGCTGGCTGCATGGCCGTTTTCGTAGTTTTCCCCAGGTGTAACGTGTATACGGGTTGGTTTCCCTTAGAAAATCCTCCTCGAAGGCATACCTCCCTTTAGGCAGATAGCCCTAGTGTGCTTTTCCATAATTAAATACACATACACAGATGTTCAAGAGTGTATGTCAAATATTTCTTCTAAAACAGTGTTCAGTGGGGACTGTGAGGTATAGTGATTTATATACAGGGTGTTTCATAGATCATGGGACAATTTTGGAGTGGGTTAGAGAATACTAAAACATGCATTTTTTTAAAGGAGTGGGTTGTCTAAAATGACGGGCTAAGGCAGGATCGCAAAAATAAACAAATGGCACAAGAGGAAAATGTGTTTATGTACAAAATCAACGCAAAGTGCTTCTTTGTAGCAATACAGTATTCACGAAAAATGTTCAAAATTAGCGACCACCAGCAGTAATACACGCTTGGTAACATCGCAGAAGGGATTGATGAACATTTTGAAAAATGATAGGCACTTTTGCGCACGCTTGCAGCCGCAATGGATAGCCATGCAACGAGGTCCTCCAGTGAGTCAACGGGAGTCTCGTAAATGATGCTATTCAGATGACCCCATAAAAAAACTCCAAGCTGGATAAATCTGGCGAACGGGATGGCAATCAAACGAGTCCACCACGGCCCGCAAATGTCCCATCCAAGTAATTACGGACTCGAACGTGGTTATGGGCTGGTGCACCATCATGCTGGAACCCCATGCGATAACGAACGACAGCCGGAACATCCTGCAGCAATTCGGTAGCACCTCTTGCAGAAAAATACGATAACATAAGTTATTTGTACGTGCAGGTATGAGGTATGGGCCTATGAGGTAGTCGTTAACAATTCTCGCCCACACATTTACGAGGAAGCGTGTTTGGAATGCATGTGGACATGTGCCGTGTGGACTATGAGTTGCCCACATGTGAAAGTTGTTGCTATTGAAGATGACGTCCTGTGAGAAGGTTGCCTCGTCCTTGAATAGCACATCCGATGGGAAATCCGCCTGCGCCGCACACGCGGCATAACCAAGACAGAATGAACTCAAGAGGTCATCTTTCTCTTACAATGCTTGACTCTCTCATGGTAGGGTGTACATTTTCATGCAATCTCTCCAACGGTGGATACTGTGCTGCAGATGACGTCTATAGCTCTTGTATCTGAGTAGTTCAGCCAATATTCAAGATGGATTTTTTCAATGCGAGGTTTCGTGCACTTCTTCTTCACTGTTGTGTCATAGGTGGCTTTCAAATGACCCGTTTTCACAGAGACTGAGCACATGCCGCACATTGTGGTCTTCAGCATACGCATGTTCGGAAATCGTTTCTGGTACAACTGTAGCGCTGCTCTGCCATTCCCATTAGAAGCACCATGCATGAGATACATGTCAGCTTTGTCCCTGTGCGTAAACTCGTCCATCACACTCGACATCAGAGTTGTGAATGATCCTCCGATGCATCGGATTGTGATTTGTCCAGCTCACTACCGCCTTCTACCGCTGCATTGCCAGCAAATCACAGCTGTAGTTCCTATCACTGTTAGTGTTCCCTTTTGAGCGTTTATTGTGATACTGTTTGCGCAAAGAAGCCTTTGCGTTGATTTGTACTTAACCTTTTCCTCTCGTTCGTTTTGTCCTTAACTCGCTACGTGTACAAAAAATGCATGTTTTAGTACGCTCCACCAACCCTCCAAGTTTGTCCCATGATCTATGAACCACCCTGTATAGATGGTATATAGGAAAAACACTATAACTAACTGTTCAATCAGGGTGCAAGATGAACTGCCCATATGCTACAACTAAATACTTGGGTTGTGTTATAGAGTCATTAGTTTTTTTTTTTTTTTTTTTCCAAAGCAGGAGATGTGAAAAATGAGCAACGCCTTTGCCAGGAATCGAACCACAGACCCTCTGGAATGTGCACCCAGCGTGCAGACCATCACAGTACAAAGGCATGCTAAGAAGGTTGGAGAATACCTTATATACTCCACTTTTAAAGGGCGACTGGATTTTAGAGGACCCAATCGCCAAATCCTGGGTGTGGAGAATTGTCATCCACCAACGTCTTAGTTCGGGTGCCACTGTAGAGTCATTAGGTTTTTTTTTTTTTGGAAGCAAGAAATGTGAAAAATGAGCAATGCTTTTGCTAGGAATTGAACCACGGACCTCTGGAATATGCACTCAGCGTGCAGACCACTACACCACGAAGGCGAAAGAAATACCTTATAATGTTTGGTTACTAAAATTGAATGAAAGAAGCATTTATCATTTAAAAGGTTAAGACAGTAGTTAAGTATTAAAAGTTTAGCAAAGAGCTTGCACATTATCTTATAAAAACAAGTATCAAATTTTAAATGTTTTACATTTGATACAAAAACAGAAAATATAAATAATTGTATATGAACAAGAAGCTGCTGCACATTATTTCCGTTTTCTTTCACATTAGTTGATCTAATAGATTCTAAGGTTGAGCAATGATTTTTCAAAAGTTTTTACTTAAGGTGTAGGATAAATTCTTTTAAAGGTTTCCTATTTAAGGAGATTGTCATTAAATCTGATGTTGTTCAATAAAAAATCTTCATTTGATGGAACTTTGATATCCATCAATAAATTTATTAAAAACAGACAACATTTTCTACCACCTGTTTAAGTTTTAGGTTTTTCTGCCACCGTTTAACTGAACTTGAATGAAATCAGATTAAACCCTAGTTCTCAGGAAGAGAAAGTATGATTATAACATGCAAGACCTGTGTTTTTCTTTTTTAAAAATTGACATACAAAAAGATCAAGCAGTTTTCAAATTAGAGAAATTTTATAAAGGTTTATTTTCAAGCCCCATAAAGACTACTGCTTGAACTGCAAGTAATATCTTTGGAAACTTTAATTTTGATATAATGTAGGCCACTTAGACATGCAAATTGCTTTTTCACTTTGTAGTTTAGAATACATTGTAATTATAAAATTTTATGTTTTTCGTAGAAATAATGTTGACATGCATTGAGAGATAGTTTTTCTTAGTTTTTTTTAATGAATGCATTTTATTTTTCAGTGATATTACTCAAAATTGTTCAAATGCTTCTGAGTCATGTGCATCGTCTTCCAACAAGCGAACAGTGTCATCAAACAAAGTCAAGGTTTTAAATAAACTGAAAGAAAACCCACTTAATCCATTTAAGGATATTACTTTAAACAATTTACAAAGTGACTCTGAAATAATAGATAATTCTCATTCTATGCAAAATTCAGTTCGTCCATTTGGATTATTTGTAAAACCTTCCAATTTAAGCTGTAGTTCATCTTATTCTGAGAATTCCATACATAATTCTAATATATCTTTTAGTTCCCAAAATGATGCTGTACTTCTTCCATCTGGATCTAAATGTATTAAAACAGTGGATGATGCTAATATACTAGCAGAAGATCTGGTAAACAAAAATTACAGTATTGGTAGAGAAAAGAATAAATCACTACGTCAGAAAGAAATGTTTGGTACAGAAACCCATACTCAAACTTATGACGATCAATCATCTTTAGGCTGTGATTGTGTAAATTCCTTTATTACAGATTTCAGGTATCCTAAAGAAGTGGCAGTGTGTGAAAATAATGTGCAAGTGTATCGTTCAAATAAGTTGTCACATAAACGAAATATTAATTTGTGCAGCTGTAATCAAACCAAAGATATGCCATTAGTTGTTGAAAATTGTGCTCAAACAGAAGCAGATGATGAAGATGATAGTGAACCAGCTTACTTATATATTCAGGTACTGTAACATATTATAATTTAAAATGCATAAAGTTCATGTTGATAGTAAAGTTTAATAAATAAGGAATAGAAGATCATAATTATAAGAAGTATTCTGTATTTCTATATCTTGTAAAAATAATGTGATTATTTTTAATAGAAGAATAATTTCATGCATGTTTTTTATAAAATAGGCAATTAATATTTTTAATTACATAGGAAAATATATATATAAAAAAGATCTGAAAGCAACTTTTCTTATAGATGCAGTTGTGCCGTAAAGAAAGTTTGAGTCAGTGGCTTTACAGGAATTCCCTCTCTCGAAACTACCAAGAGGTTATGATTATATTTTATCAGATTATAGAAGCTGTGGAATATGTTCATGCATGTGGTTTAATGCATAGAGATTTAAAAGTATGATATATACTTCTAGTGGTCATTAAATGCTCTTTCAAGCTAATTTAAAATTGTATTTTATACTGCTTTTACCTTGTGTTGACATAACTGTTAGGTTTGTTTTCATGCTATTGGAAATCTTTGTAGAGAAGCTTTTGAATGGTTATTCCTTTTTCACAGTTTTTTATTTATTTTATTTTTGCTTTTAATTTTTTAACTGAACTACTTAGTGAATTTCATCCTGATAAGTATGTGTTTAATTAAATTTTGTTTTTTTTTTTTTTTTTTTTTTTTTTTTTTTTTTTTTTTTTTTTATCAAGGGTTATATATTCTTCTAAATACTTTGATGGCATCATTGGAAATGTAGATTCCCATCAAAATAGTAAAAGCTAGGCTGATATATTCATACATATAAATTATATTATAAGTAATGAAGAATTTAGCACTTAATTTATGGTTGTTACCTTAGTAAAATCAGCATATAAACATATAAGAAAAACTGTCTTGCAACTGCATAAAATGCGAATACAGATTTATTAATAATAAAATTATAAAAGTAAAAAAAGAGAACATGTAATTGCATTATTAAAAGCACTGAGTGAAAGTTGAGAAAATATTGTCACTAAGGATCTGCAGATACCTTCAAGCATTGAAAAGTGATATCTAAAAGTTGCAGTTTTAGCTATTTGTAGTGTAAAAAATTAATCTGTTGTAGGCTTGGAACTGAACTTAAAGAGGCTTCTTGTGTATTTATTTACAGACTTCTCTACTTTTGAGAAGTAGTTAAAAGGCTACTGTGGCAACATTTTGTGGAAAAATTATTGGCTATTTCAAATGCAAATACGTTTCAGGGGAGAATGCTTACTTTTTTTTCTTCAGTCATGTTGAAATCTGATTAATTGTTGTTATCTGTTAATTGTTTAATTGTCATGTTGAAATCCTCAGCTCCTGCAGAATGATCAAGTAGCTTATTTCCATTAGGTAAAAGATAAAAATGAAGTGTTTCACCTTGAGGTTTTGCTATATAAGATTTCGAGTTCAAAATGGTAAAAAATTCCGTAAATTAGTTAAATAAAGTTCATATAATTATGTGGATGTTCATAAAGCATATGTAATGAAAGGAAAAGATCACATTAAATCATTGTAATTATAAACTAATGTACAGTATTGAATTCATACAGATAGTTAAATATCTTGAAAATTATATCTGTGGTTGTTGACTATGGTTTGGATATGTTTATTTTTACAAAGTAGCATCGCAGCAGATATGTTTAAGAAAAATATATCTTTGTTCAGGATATTTTTAAGGGAAAATGGTTTGTATGTACAAATATGCATGGGGGTAAACTGAAAATCCCATTTAGCTGCCAGTAATTGAACCTAGAATTAACTGTCTGTTGTTTGCTGCCTTAGCTGCTGCACCATTCCTGTGTTTGAAAATTGCTGTATAAAAGTAAAAAAGTCTTTGGAGTAAGAAACATGTCAATTTTTATTTCATTTAAGACCCTGAATGAATGGAACTCTGGTGGCTTGAATTTACCCTCCTTACAGTTTTGGAAATGATTTAACACCTCCCCTCCAATCTTTTCATCAAGGCTGTCGATGTTATTGATGACTGTATAGCATATTTAATTTTGCTGATTCCTACAAATCAGATATGCTTCAGAACATATATAATACTAGTGTGTAGCATGTTTTCAATTATTTTCATAGAATTTTGTGAAACCAAGGAATTGTATCACACGTGTCAAATATTTGAAATAAGTTGGCTGACAGCTAGAAATAAATACGAGGCCTGTAAAATTTATGTTTTTAAAAGCCTTTTTTCTTTTATAGATAGGGGTGCTGAAGATTTTAAACTTTATCACACTGTTTTCTTGCACTTTATGTTAACACTTTCTTGGTTGATGTGTGGAATCAGACTGTTGAATAGGTAATGAAGCAATAATCAAGTAAAATGTTTTAAATGAAAAATATACATATTTATGAAATTATATGAAATACAATTATCATATAAGAATTGTTCTCAGTCATAGATCTTCAATTCTTTTTTCTTTTATTAATAAATCTGCATCTGCTGCTGTTTCTATAAAGCTCAGTTTTGTTTGATTCTTTGTAAATATGTGAATCATATTTGTAAAATAATCTGCAGTTTTCTTTAATGTGTGCTTTTAGATGTCCACCAGACAAGGAGTGTAGTTTATAATGAGTTGACAAATGGCCCTAAAAAACTTGAAGGTGCAAAATTATTTCATGTTTAAAAATTCTATCAAAAAATGTGATTATGTTTTGGGGATATTTGACTTATCAAAAAAGTGAAGGAAAGAACAAAATTTCAGCATCATTTGTAAATGCTTTAATCAGTCTAATATTTTCATTTAAAGCTATGAAAACAAATTAAATTTATCACAAAATGTTAATACCACTTTTCAGTAAATGTACCTAGTAAAAACCATTAATTTCAGCTTATCAAAAAATTTCTGTTATTGAGTTCCTCTACCCATTTCCATGTGTCAGTTTCATTCATTTTGAAAATAGGAATGTAGAAAGAATATTCTTAAATAAAATTTTGGTTTTGTTTGATGTAATACACTTTTTATAATTTCATAGAGTTTGAAGTTTGTGTCTGATTACCACTTTTTTAGCCATCAAATATATACTTTTCTTTGGATGGAGCTATTAAAATTGGAGATTTTGGATTAGCTACCTCTTCTGAGATTGGAAGGCAAGCATGCGAAGATGGTGATATTGCTTTTCCTCATTTGCATACCTGTGATGTGGGTACTGCATTATACATGAGTCCAGAACAAGTATGCTTTATGTTCTTTAAGCCATTTTCTGAATATTTTGTAATATTAGTGTTTATTCAAGTACAGCATTTAAATTAAACTGAAAAAGTATATTTACTTTGATAAAGATTGCAGAATTGCAGAAGGTGCAATATTTTTTATTTGAAACTGTGAGCTGGCTCTAAACGAATGAATGTAAATCAGGATTTGCCATAATGGAAAGCATAACATTAAAAAAAAATTCTTTTATAGAAATGCTTAAAATCTTCAAAGGTTATATATTTAATATGTGTTTATGGAATATTAAAGTTAGTGTAAAAAATGCATCCTAGTTATTTGATGTTGTGCCTAAATATTGTATATGTCAAACAAGTTTGCTGACAGAGTAACTATCCTTATGTTTTCATTCGTTATGCATCTGACTGCAATGCCATTGTTTTATTGAAAAAGATTGTGATGTCAAGAATCTCAAAGTACTCTGCTTGGGATTTTTGCCACTTTTTTTATGTGATTGGCATGAATCTTTTCAAATTTGTTATGTATGCCAAAAATATTTATTATGAATGATGTGTTATACACTTTTTGCCAAGTAAACAATTTTCTTCAGAGTTTGTTATTACTCTTTAAATACTTTGTTTACTTTTTTAATGGGTTAGCTGCACATTTCCTCCTCATGTTTCTTTCATTTGCTGCACAGTAATAAGTGAAGTAAATTAAATTTTTATAATATCCATATTTATCGTAATTTTCTGAAAACATAATATTCAATTACTCATACTTAATTAAGTATGAATAACTGAGTTTGTTATGCTTTGTGAAAGAAATTTTTCCATTTGTTCAAAAAGAGTGATTGAAAAAAAATTGAAACGAAATACGACAGATTGGTTCTTTCTTCCTCCCCTCCTTTAAAAGAATCTTTTTCATAATATTTTACTTGTTACCATTGCATGCAGTTTATAATATATCTTTCTTTAATTTTAAAGCCGTTAATAAAGGTGTAGATTTTTTGTTACTGTAAGTCACTAAGGCTATAATGTGCAAACCATAAGAATGTTGCAGTATAAATATGTGTAATATGCATGAATATATGTTGTGTACTTTAACATACTACTGAAATGTGGTGAGTTAATTAAAAGCTGTGAATTACTTTATTACTGTCTTTGTAATATCGAGTGTATTTTTGGATTTAATTTTTATAAATTAACTGAAAGTTTAAATTTCAGTCAGATTTCTTATTAACTGTGTTTTTGTTTTCTTAATCATCCAGTTATTCAGATCTTTTCCTATTATTATTCTATTTTTTGTGTTATATTTCATATGTGCTTAAAATAACTTTTTGTTACATAATCTAAAATTGAAAGAAAGGAATATTGCAAATTGGCCAAAGTATTAGAGAAGCTCTTTTTCCACATTTTAAAGAATAAATTTTATCATTGTAATTTAGTCTTGATATGTGATGAGGTTTAATTTAAAAATATGTAAATATATCTCTGCAAATAAGTTAAAACTACTAAACATTCATAGTCTGACCTAGTTTTGATATCTATAACAGTATGTAGAATCATTTGTATTTTGGTAACTTTCTCATTAATATAAATATGGCACTGTTTTTACCTTTATAGAGGATATAATTCCTTAATCTTTCAGTTTCTTTTCAAATTGGAAAACATTTATAGTTTTAGCATTTTCAATCTCTTTCCTTACAATTTAGTCAGTAACAATTTGACTTATTCAGGGCCCTAGTTTTGATATTTGATGACAGTATATAGGGTCATGGGTATTTTGGTAAGTTTCCCATTTATATAAATATGATACTGTTTTTACCTTTATAGAGGATTTAATTCCTTAATATTCCAGTTTCTTTACAAACTGGAAAACATTTATTGTTTTAGCATAATGTCTCTTTCCTTACATTTGGTCAGAAACGGTTTGACTTATTCAGGGATAATATCACTGATGCTTTGTAATCCACAGCAGCTGAATTTGTGTGCTTCACTTGGTTGTTGTTTCAATGGTAACTGAACAGCATTCACTACATTTAATGAAGTAAGGTTAGCTTCTTAAATAATTTTTGTACATAAACTTCACAGTATAATTATGCAAATAATACCAACAAAAAAGTAGACATTTCCAAGTTCTTGTTGACAGACTATATTGACATTAAAATAGTAGTAAAAAAAAAGAATGTTGACTTGGAATTTTTATCGACAGTTTTTTCAAAAATTCAACTAGGTAACTGAATAGGAATAAATAATGCATTGGTAAAATTTTATTAAAATATGTAGAAAACGTCAACTTCAAATGACTAACCGTAGAAGAAACTGGCATAAGTTTTATAATGCTGTGATATATTTTTAAACGTTTATAAAACATAGAATTGTAATGCAAGGGATGAACAAGCCAAGCAACCTGTCTAAAAATGCATTTCTCTTAACAGCTGAAAGATAAGGCAGATTACTTGAAAAAGTTCTGGGAGATTTGGTATAATAGGAAAGTGCTAAACCCCATAATGGTACTGTATAATTATTTAAGGAGCTTTAATTTATCTTGGAGTGGGATGAAGTTGTATCTGTTAAACAGGGTATTATTGCTTTTGTTCTTACTTTAAAATTAAGATTATCAGAAGGAAAAGAATAGTGATATTTCTGCTTTGGAAGTATAATATTCCTAAAGTGTGTTCAAGTGAATTAAACTGTTTAAAGATGTTATTACTTTATTTACTTTATATAATGGAAAGGGAAAAATTATATCTAGGACAGTTGCTTGGATGTTCATGTTTTAACAGTATTAACTTTTATGAAAACATTTATGAAAAATTTTCCTTCAGTAGATTTCTGATATTCTACACATCTTGGGGTTAAGAATTGCATGGATCAGAGAATTTTGCAGATTATAAATCATGTCTTCTTAATTCCTGTATACACCTCCACCCCCTAAAAAATTACGTGCAGGAAAAACGGATAAAAACTTCTTTGAGAAAGTAAACTCTTTTGTAAAAATGTATCAAAGTAGTTTATTGGGGGGGAGTATATTCCCATTTGAAATCACTCTATAAGTAAATTTTTTGCTTTTAAATATGGGGGGAATACGTGTGGCCAAAATTGTGGACACTTTTGAAATTTTATGTTTTTGAACTTTGTATGCTTATAGAAAACGTTACGTTTCACAAATGCAACTTGTATATATCATTTTAAAGAGAATTATTACTGAATTCAATACAAAACACATAATTCATATTTGCAATACAAAGAAAGTTAAACAATAATAGTTATCAATATACATTAGATAGTGATGATTGCAGTGAGTTATCAGTACTTAGTAGGGTACCCTTTATTTTTTATTACTGCTTCACATCGATGTTTCATTGAGCTGACAAGAGTTTTAAGCTCTTCTTTAGTTATTACATGATGCCAGGAAACAATTACAGCCTCAATTAATTCCCTTTTATTTGATGGACGCCTCATTCGGACAAGAGTTTTCAAATGATGCCACAAATTTTCGTACGATTGAGGTCAGGACTGTTTCCTGGCCATGACAACAATTTAATGCTCTTTGTACAAAACACGCTTTCGATATTTGGCTGTGTGGCAAGGAGCAGAATCCTGCTGAAAATAACGAAGCATTGTTGGGAAAGAGACTCTGATGGAAGGTAGAAGTTTTGGTTCTAGAATAGTGTCAATGTATTTTCTGGCATTGTGTCCCATCGATGACATGAAGGCGACCAATACCATCTGCTGACATGCATGACCAAATCGTAACACTAACTGGGTTCTTCACAGTTGCTTGAATGCAGTCAGGATATAGCTCTTCTATTCTACGTCTTACATATTTTTGCCCATCACTACCGAATGACGATATCTTAGTTTCAGCACTCCATATAACTTGTGACCATTGATCATCTGTCCAATTAATGTGTTCATTTGCCCACTTCATATCACAGTTGCTTGGATGTTCATGTTTTAAGAGTATTAACTTTTATGAAAACATTTATGAAAAATTTTCCTTCAGTAGATTTCTGATATTCTACACATCTTGGGGTTAAGAATTGCATGGATCAGAGAATTTTGCAGATTATAAATCATGTCTTCTTAATTCCTGTATACACCTCCACGCCCTAAAAAATTACGTGGAGGAAAAACGGTCTTTTTTTTTTTTTTCCCCCATTGCTTTTCATTCTTCTAGTCTTTTTTTTTTTTTTTTTCCATTGCTGAAAATTAAGATAAGGCTTTTTTCGTGGAATTCTACCTCTCAGTCCAACATCTGTTAATCTTCTCCTGATTGTTTTTGAACTGACAGAAACACCAGCATCATTCAGATCACTTTTGATGGCCGGTGATGACATTTTTTCTATCTTGGAGACATAATCTTTTTATTCTTCTGTCTCAATAATGTGGTGTTGCACCTTTTTGGCCTTTTCCTTCTTTGTTTTTTATTGAATTGTCTCCTGAGATCATAAACAAAACTTTCTGACTCCAGATTAGTCACTGACCACCTACCTGTCTTGCAATTTCAGCATAGGAAAGATCACTTTTTCGTACACAATAATATTACATCTCTTTTCTAGGTGTCCAATCTACTCTTTTATTTGATGTCATAGCTTCTTGACTAAATATTAAAAATTTTTACAAAAATTCCTACTTGTAATTGTAGTGTATAAGAAACAGGTCCTTCTACAGAACAAAGCAAAATAATGAATTGTTTCAAGTGTAAACATGTCAGCTTCTACTGGCAGTTACTAACATTTGACTGGTTCTCAGAACAAGAACAGTGATTGGCCAGGAAAGCTAGACATTACAAACCACTCCATAACTGTGTTTTTTATTTATATTAAAGTACATATAACTTTTTTTGTATTGCAAATAATTGAATTTTGTGTTTTGTATTGAATTCAGTAATAAATTCTCTTTAAAATGATATATACAAGTTTGCATTTTGCGAAACGTAACATTTTCTATAAGCATACAAAGTTCAAAAACAAAAAAATTTCCGAAAGTGTCACAATTTTGGCCACCACTGTAGATAGTAAAATTAGTGTTCTATTTACAATAACCCCAGCAGTACAAATTTGAGTAAAATGAATGCCTACATTAAATCTATCATGCATGTCCACAGAATGGATATGCGAGATTAATAATTTTGCTAGTATTTTACAAATATGCTGAAATTGAAATTTAGAATTTATTAAAATTTGTTTTTTCCTCTCATCACCACATTTTCCATTTTAATGCCAGAAACATCAACTTGTGCAATTATTAAAACCTTATTTGCCCCCACTGTAAACAAATTTTGTTCGTTGTATGAAGTGTGAACAAATCACCTTCATGGTGCATTGAAGTTGGAACACAATGTTCTGAAAAGCTGTGAATAAATAAATTGTTTGCACATGTTAATCATGTTAGCTCAAAATTAAATTTAGAAGACAGTACAGATATATTTCCTCTACACTAGCTGTGCCTGAGTTTTGATAAAAAAAAAATGTCCTGGCTTTCACAGAATGGATATGCGGGATTAATAATTTTGCTAGTATTTTACAAATGTACCCATTCTGTCCAAAGGTCTTCCTATGCAGCAAAACTACTTGAGAGGTCTTTTATGCAATTGAGAAGTTAAGTAAAAATGTTTTTTTGCTAAAAGAATAAAGTGAAATAAAATTTGCTGCACTTTATGATTTTTGTTAGCTTTACACTTTGTAAAAAATGTGTTAAATGTAATTAGTATGTGTGTTACAGAGTTTAAAGAAGACTTACGACTGTAAGACTGACATATTTTCTCTTGGAATTATATTTTTCGAACTTCTGGTACCACTTCCAACATTTAATGAAAGATACAGGGTATGTATCAGTTTCTTTCTCAATTGAAGTTATAAAATGAACTTTTGAATATTGTACATGGATCGTACAGAAATGATTGACGCAGTGGCTCTCACAATAAAACTGTTACATGATGTGACAGGGAAAACAAGTGAAATAGACAAAAGGGGGGCATAAGCTACTCAGAACGAGTCATGGTTTTAGCATGACACTTCTAAAAAAAGGCAGCCCCATGCAGTGCAAGCATGCATCAAGCCTAGGCCAGTGTTCAACATGCAGAAATAATTGGCAGCAGTCTTCTGGGATGTACAGTGCATTCTTCTGGACTGCCTGAAGCGTGGATGCACCATCAACAGTGACCGGTACTGTGAGATTGTCAGAACTCTGCGACAGCACATTCAACAGCATCGTCTTGCCAAATGGGCATGGCACATGCTGTTGCAGCAGAATGCATGTCCCCACACGAGCGGAATAACCACTACACTCTCGAGGCATTGGTTTTCACTGTGTTGTCACACCCTCCATACTTGCCCGATCTGGCCTCCCTCTGATTACACCATGTTTGACAAGATGAGGAATGCAGTCGGGCCAACATGTGGAGTTTTCTGCCAAATTGCATGCAATTGTCCGTAGGTGGTGCGCCAACATTCCCTCAGACCTGGTTTACCAAAGTCCTCCGGCACTTCCCAACCAGGTGGCAGATGTGTATTGACTGTGCACGGATTATATATAACTGATATATTATTCGTTTTTTGTTATTGAATTGTATTTTGGTTTGTGGCAGCTTTGTGTCATTCATTTCTGTGCAACCTTAATAAAATATGTGTTATCTGTACAGTGCTTTAAGAGGGTAAACATTTTATACTACACTGGTTTCTGAATAATAAGTAACAGCTTGAAAAATCATAATAAATTGGCTGAGTATTTCTAGAAATTTGGATTTGTTATGAATATAAGCAAGCTGTATCAAGTAGCATTATGCAAAATAGTGATGTTACCATTACTTTACTTAAATATGATGCAGCTTAAAATAAGCTGTTTAGGACTGTTCTATGAACTGCAATAAATTAAACAACTCTTAAGATAGAAAAAAAAAATGTAGCTAAAGGTGAGTTTTAGGCAACATTTGCGGGCAAAATTCCATTGTAGAGCCATAAGCGAATTAGAAGCAGATCAGTGACAGTCTGACACTGCAAAATGCATAAATGTTGACTATTCCATGATAAGCCTGCAGTAGGACCAATTTCAAACTAGTTGTTCAGCTTCTCGAAGACCTACCAAAGGAAGAGCAAGACTTCTGCAGTATTTGCAATTTAATGCCCATCAGAACAATGCTCCATCTCCATATCAGCGGGCTTAAAATCAGTGGAGGTGTATTTTATTCACTGTTGAGTTCACTGCTGAGTCCCACTTTGTTACATGTATACATAGGGAGAGGCAAACACTCAATATCTTCCATCTAACATATGAGAAAGCAATGCCTATGCAGGAGGTAGTGTTCTTATATGGGGAGGAGTATCTTTATGTGGATGCAGAGACCTGTATATGTAGTTTGCATGGAATGCTGAATGATAAGAGGTAGAGATGACTTACTGGATCCTTTTGTTTGCCCGTATGCTGCCGCAATTGACAAAACATCCATTTTGCAAGCAAATAATATTCTCTCGCATACTGCCTGCCTCGTGCTGCAATTTCTTGAAGAAGAAACTATAATCCAAATGGAAAAGCCTACCTCATTTTCCTGACCTTAATTCTTCTGAACATATATGGGACTCTCTCAGGAGATGTGTAGCTGGCCTCAACTGCCTTCCCTAACTCTGATGGGGTTAGAATTGCTTTGCTTGATCAATAGTCAAGTTTTATCCACTTTTATTGTGTGCTTTTTGAGTTATCAATTTTTTGTTTGCGCTTAACTTGGGGAAACCAGTGTATGTCACATTCTGCATATGTTTAATTTATATTTATTATTTTTTTACTTTCTTTTTATATTACATTGCTTATAATTTAAGCAAGTCTTAATAACTTATGTCATTTATTAAGTATTCATTTGATTATTTATTAAGTATTCATTTGATTATTTATTAAGTATTCATTTGATTCATTTGAAAATGTGTACACATTTTTGTAAAGCATTAATTATGAACAGAAAGTTTTGCTGTTTAATGCTTGAATTATTTACTTGTGACATCATTCAGTGGACAAAAAAAGCTGGAAATTTTCAAAAAATTAAGTGACCAGCATTCACTTTCACAATCTACCTTAACGTGTGTTGAGAAGTGGGCTAAAAGTTAAAATTGTTCTGTCAATCTTTTTGTTTGTTATAAGTGTGAAGCTAATAGAATTTGTGCTGTAATGTTTACTTCCAGAGGTAATGTTCCACCAAATAATCAACATCATTGATTTAAGAGACATGGCATAAAATGGCAATATGATTGATAACATTAATTTTATAAATGTTATTAGAACAAAACCTTAACCTCTGATTTTATAGATATATGAAATATTGTAGAAGTGCATAAGAATGTTTAAAAGCACATAATAACTTCATGAATTTAATTTATTCCTGAAGGACATTCGCAGTCCAAAACGATTATTAACCAAGACTATTTTCCCCATAATGTTTAATATAAAATTGATTGATCCATTTTTGTATTACAGATAACTGCTTATTTAAAATTCAGCAACTGTAGTAGCTATTAGAAAGTCCTCTGAATCAGAAGATATGCAGTTGTTAAATTTAAAAAAAAAAAATTGTATTTGTTGTATTACTCTTGGATACATAAAATTTTAAATGGATGTATTATGCCTTAATGTGTTTTGAGGATATGAAATGTTATAAATTTTTTTAAGTTGTACCAGCAGAATATTGTTCCTGAATTTTAGAATCGTTCTTGGGCTGCAGATCTACATTTGAAGTCAAAAGGTTGTTATTCTCATTGAAAACAGGAGTTTTAAAATTTTACTTGTAATGATTTTCATAGAGCTTGTGTACCTGCAAATGCTGTCAAATTTTTAGAGTAAATCTGTGAATACTAATTAATAATGTTGCAAAATGTCTAGAACTTGTAAAATTTTAATGTTTTTTGTGTGCTCGTTGTATCTCTCTCTGTTATGTGCATGCATATATTTCAGATGTGTAAAATGCACATAATAGAGACCCATAAAATTGAACAACCTGTTGTTATTTATTTTTGAATGCCTTGCAAGTTTTTACATATACTTTAGTCTGACTAATTTTGTATTCCTGCAAACCCCTCTGAAGCAAAAACTGAAAGGATAAGAAAAGAAATTTAATTTAATAAGACTAAGGCTAGTGTCATCTAAAAAAACCATCTTGCATTGTTTATAGATTTGCACATAAATGTCCTTGACAAAGCAAGATAGAAATTACCATGCATTAATAATGATAAAGATTGTTTCTTTGCTTAAGGATTATTGAAATACTATTAAAAGCAAAAAATCATTGCTATAATTTTCACAATGATCTTATCTGTTATAGTAAAAATCTTTTCTCTTATAATTAAAAAAAAAAAAAAAATGAAAGCATACAGTTGAAAAGGTGAGCAGACCGCATTATAGCCACTTGAAGTAATAAATGTTTTCTTTCCATTTGGCAGTATTATTTCATTCTTTCAACAATCAATTGTGAACAGTGTATCAACATATATTTTGAAGACTGCAATATATAACAGTTCAGGCAGTGCAACATATAACAGTTCAGGCGTTTCCATAAATGTCAAAAATTTTAAATGTATTAAAATTGTAAAACATGGTTTTCTTTAAAGCACATGTTTATCTTAATTTCATTCCATACTAAAGGTTTTCTAAAACTAAGATATTGAGCTAAAAAATTAATAGCTTCTCTTTTGAACAGGAAAATAATCCTAGAAATGATAAGACACTTATTGCTGTATCAAATAAAAATTTTAAAATATATTTTTGAAAGTATTCATGGTATTCTATCGGAGTAATATTACCTTTTAAAACAAGATTTAATCTTTTCAGCATAGAAATTTTTGACATTTCTCTACTCGTCTTGTATTATTCATTTCAGTTGCTTTTTTTAAAAGAAATAATTTGTTTTCTTATTTTATAATATTATTTATTATCAAATATGTTGAATAAAGTTTAAATCTTGGTGATTGGACTTGGAGATCATTCTAGTATTTCATAAAAATTAAAAAACAACCTCAGTTGTATATTCATAGTCGTATGCTTAAAATAATTGTCTTGGTGGCATTTGCATATTAGATATTTCTGACGATGGTGATGACACTTGTTTAATGTAACACTTTCTCCACTATGTTTTAGTAGTAAAACCAAGTTGATTATTTATTTTTTTTTTTTTTTTTTTTTTCTGCATATTAAGAAATGACCATTTTAACCAATTATATTAAATAGCATGTCTAAACCTTAAGGAGAAGTGACATTTTTTATATGCATAAAAAAAGTATTTCAATAGAGACTATCCATATGGCTACCACAGTGTAAGGTACAATCTGATGGAAATAATATATGAAAGTAATCATAGCAAGTCTTTTGCTGAACATATCAGTTGGGCAAAGGTGAAGGCTGGTAGAAACGTAATCTGTCCAGGCAATTTGAATTCTCGGTAGGGAATATGTGAACCTTAAATTGTGATGCAGCAGTCTCAGTACCAGAGCATGCTTATTGTTACCTTAGATTCAAAGCTATTGTGACCAACTTTACCATTTCTTCTTTAGAGGATGGCCTTGCCAGTTTTTCTGCAAAGGACTCCAGGTAGCAGCCTATCTCATTGTATTTTCCCTATATGCATGGTAAGAGGTGAGGCTTAGTAAGCATGCAGGCCAGTCAATTCAACGGATATTCTGATTTTCTAGAGAATCTGTATTGGTGTGCTTCAGCGAGACTTGACATTATCATCCTTAAAAAGAACTGCTTTGTGAGCAGAACAAGCAAGCCTGACAATGAGTAATCTTTTTCCCATTAACAGTCATTTAAGATACTATTGGCCAGCACCTGAAGCTTAGTAACCCATC